GTTATTTTTGTAATTTCTTACTGTTCCCAGGCTGACCTGGAGATTGTTCTGTCTCAAGTTGGTCTCAGCTTATAGAGACTCTCCCGCTCAGAATGCTGAGATTACAGGCATGACTCACCACACCCGGTCTTCTCTCTGTACTTTGTATAAACGCTGACTCTTGGCTTTCACTTCTGGGCCTCTCAAAGTCCACACTTGGCCTCGAAGTACAGGCCTGTAACCCCAGTTTCTAGGAGGCTGAAGCCAGAGGATCATGAGCTTAAGGCCTATCTAGTTTCCCAGAGTAACTTAGTAAGACCCTGTTTCAAAATAAAAAGTGGGAAAATGAGTGTGGGAGACTTGAGATAGAGGTCAGTGGCAGAGACTCTGGCTTCCATCTCTGTCATACAGAAAAGTGTCATAACCAAGACACAGAGCTAGGTAAGGTGGCACCCACCCTCACTCCACAACCAGGAGGCAAAGGCTCATAGATCTCTGTGAGTCCCAGGCAAGGCAGAGGTACATAATGAGACCCCATCACAAAACAATAAACAAATAAATAGATATATCTGTAAGAGAGAAAGGAGCACATATAAATTTTTTCATTGTGGAGTGTCACTCAGGTTGAATTGACATCCCAAAGCCATGTTCACTCAAATTTGGATCATAATCAACTATTTTATTGCCATCTTTGACAAGCACTCATATTTTTATATGGCCAGTGTTTGATAACACACACACACACACACACATAACATGAACACAGGGAAACATGAATGCACATATACACAAACGCATAGTTGGAATTCCTAGCCATTCCCCCAGCTATATGACCATGCATGCACTATCCAGTAGCAAGGCAAGATGCTTAGAAATCCTATGGCCTTATGTAATCCATGGGCAGTGTGATTGTGTAATCTATGCCCATGAGTAGCATAGCTACACAAGCCCATATGCACATGTTGGGCACAAGGGGGAAACCTATAAAAGCAAGTTCCACCTATTCCTTCTCTCTCTTCCTGCATGGTCATTCCATAGGTCTATGCACACCCTTTCTATTCCTTTCCTTAATAAACTCTTATAGTGGGTTTTGTTGTGCCTAGTCGTCTGTCCCACACAGTAAACAGAGCTGCTTAATCAATAACATTGGTGTCGTGACTTGGATGTAAGGTAACTCTTTCCGTTTGCCTGTTCACTGGCAGAAGTTAGATAATTTCCCTAAAATACTGAGGTCCAGTGAACCATTAGGTGACCATTTTTTATTGTTATCTAGGGATATTTAGGTCATTTTTTTTAGTGCACAGGCAGACATGCTTAGCGGCCTCAAAGTAAGGCATTAAGCTTGAGAGTTTCCAGAAGACATCCCAGAGGAGAGGTGGGACTAATAGGCTTGGAAGCCTTGTTTCCAACGGCTACAGCAGAGAGAAAAAATAAAAGAAAATTAAAACGCAAACATGATCCAAAGGCTACAATTTCAGGTGTCCCTGAGATCAAGCAAAGACTGGCAATTTGCACATGTCATATAACACTTCATCAAGCAAGAGAATGAGAGCCTTTTACCTCACCCTAGGAAAATTCCTCCTCATACACAGGGACACAGACAGGGCCCTGCTTTTTTAAGTTCCAAAGGACACCAGTATAACTGCCTTGTTACCAATTCCAGAAGAATAAGGTTTCACCCCACAAGTTTTTCCTTCCTGGCTCCCTCTCCTCTCTTTATTAACCATATTCTGCTTTATCAGTTCCCTCCTGTGTCTCTAATAACATATTCAACCTTCTAATTAACTACTCAGGTAGTTGTTACAGGACCACCATAGAACCGGAGGCCAAGGACTATCAAATATACCCAGGCATTAAGAAACAGTGACAGTCCAGAGGTATTCACACGAATTCAAAAGGGTCTGGATTCTGAAAACAAAGCAAAGCAAAGCAAAACAAAAACAAAACAACCAAAAAAACCCCCAGACTTTAATGTAACAATCTATTAGCATCTCCTGGATGCTAAACTAATAAAGAAAACAGGTGCCTTGAAGTTTGTCACAGATAAGGCTTATCTCAAGTATCTTAGCTATCCTGGAACTTGCTCTGTAGACCAGGCTGGCCTGGAACTCACAGAGATCTGTCTGCCTCTGCCTCCAGAGTGCTGGAATTAAAGGTGTGCACCACCACCGTCTGGTGAGTTTTGTGATTTTTGTACAAACTCTCCAGTAGCCCACACTGGCCTCCAGCTCACACTGAAGCACTGTTGATTTTGGTCCCCTTCTCCTCCCTCTGTCTCCCAGGGGCTGGGATTTGCCAACATGCTGGGATTAGGTTTTTTTTTTTTTTTTTGATAGAATGAGCAGTTTAGAAGTTGAGGGAATAGTCCAGCTGATAGACAGCTTGCCTAGGGAGCAGGAAGCCCTAGTTTGATCTTCCTCATCAGATGAATTGGGTCTCGATGTGTATGTCAGTAATCATAGCAGCTGTGAAAGGGAAGATCGGAAGTTCAAGATCTTCCTCAGCAATGTTTCAGTTCTGAAGAAAGCCTGGATTACAGAAGGCCCTATCTCCTCAGGTGGTGGTGGCCCACTCCTTTAATCCCAGCACTTAGGAGACAGAGTCAGGCACATCTCTA